ACCCCGGTCTATAACTTCCTTACAAAGGGAGAACTCCCAACGAACCAGGCCGACGCAGCCACGATAAAGAGGCGAGCATGTTCTTACGTTGTCCTCGAACAGAAACTTTACAGAAGGGGATTCTCCATTCCCCTCCTGAAATGCATTGACGAGTCCTCCATCCCCGACGTATTGCGGGAGATACACGAAGGTATCAACGCCCAGCACATGGGCGGTAAATCCTTGGCGAGGAAGGCCCTCCGAGCAGGATACTACTGGCCGACGATGCAACAGGACGCCAAGGAACACGTGAAAAAATGTGACAAGTGCCAGAAGCACGGGGATATGCACCTCGCTCCCCCACACGAGCTGACCACATTGTCATCCCCATGGCCGTTCGCCTGGTGGGGCATGGACATCCTCGGACCCTTCGTGCAAGGGACCTATCAGAACAAGTTCCTAATCGTCGCCGTGGATTACTTCACAAAATGGATCGAGGCCGAGGCCCTCGCGAAAATCACCTCACACAACATCCTCCGTTTCTACAAAAGAAACGTGCTCGCCAGGTTCGGAATTCCGCAGGCACTGGTGACCGACAACGGCACCCAGTTCACCGACCACGGATTCCGAGACTTCGTCACCAAACTGGGGACCAAACATCACTTCACATCGGTCGAGCACCCTCAGACCAACGGGCAAGCCGAAGCTGCGAACAGAGTCATCCTCCGAGGGCTCAAACGTCGACTCGGCGAAGCCAAAAGAGGATGGGTCGAGGAGCTCCACAGCGTCCTGTGGGCGTACCGCACCACACCCCATTCAACGACGGGTGAAACACCATTCCGACTAACGTACGGCACCGAAGCTGTCATCCCAGTCGAAATCATGGAACCATCCCGACGAACGGAGGAACCCCTCGACGAAGAAATGAATGACGAAGCACTAAGGGATGAACTCGACCTAGTCGAGGAAATCCGATCGGGGGCTGCCCTGCGTGAAGCAACCCTAAAACAACGAGTGGCTCTACGCCACAACGACAAGGTCATCAAGCGCGAGTTCGAAATAGGCAGTCTGGTACTACGCAGAAACCAGAAAGACTCCCGCGAAGGGAAGTTGGCCGCGAACTGGGAAGGACCTTACCGCGTCCACGGCACCACGGGTACCGGGGCGTACTACCTCGAGCAGTTAGACGGAGAGCCATTACCAAGACCCTGGAATGCTGCTAAGTTGAAGCAGTACTACAGTTAAAAACTGTCAACACCTAGGACCCTCGACCAAAAGCAACCATGCTCGGGCGACGAGGAAACACGTCCAACTTCGTTTAAGGCTAAGGTACAGGCCGACACACGACCAAAATGGCACGGCATCGCGCGGTAGACGTTGACGATCTATAGTGCCCGACATGGACAGCTGTACCAAGCACCACCGTCGTCGTACCCATAAGGCAGAACACCCAGCTCGCGATGGGCAGTTCACACCAAGGGCGAATCGTCCCTACGGGCTCCACGCCCGACTGAGCAACCTCGCTCCGAAATACCCGACATTCCACCAAGAATAACGGGACATCTACCAGGGTCAAAAGAAAATCTCTCCCCTCGAGCGAAACACTTAAGCAACCCCGGCCAACCGAAATTGGGCCGCGGTTGCACACAAATAGAGACGAGCATAGTCGCTCGCCAAATCAAAGCCACCTACGGGCACTCCTCGGGCCCGGGACTTGAGCTAAATTCATACAAGCATGTGAGTTCATACAAGGGCAGAAAGACCAAAATAAACAAGGTATAAACGCCCGAAGGCAACAAAGTAATATTAAACCGACCAAGAAGGCCGGCGATGTTCATACATGCAATAAACGGGCACGCAGGCCCAAAGTACAAATTCAAATATCAAAGGCACGCAGGCCCGCTATCCAAAGAATACAAATCAGACTTCCACATTATCACCACTGTCGACGCAGGGAGAGTCGGGCGGGGGAATGATCGCGCCACCGACAACCCGATGGGTGTGCCCGATGCCCTCGGTGACCAGGCCGGGATTTAGCAACGAGAGCTGGTCGACGGCAGAATTGAACCCGTCTTCCAGGGCACCGACTGCGTCCTCCTCGAGGTTCCGGATATGGGCAATAAGCTCAGCCCGACTCTTCAAAGCCATTAGGTCCTCGGGCTCATCTTCAGCGGGTTGTTGAACAGCATTCAGTTCCTCGACCTGCTTGCCCAGGCGTTCGACTTCAGCAGCCAAACGATCCCTGTCGGTCCGGAGCAACTCCCCTTCCTCGGTCAACCGCCCCGACTTCTCCTTTTCTAAGGTCAGCATCTCCCTCTCGGCGTCAAGTATCGCGGTCTGCTCTTGGAACATCCCCTCGGAGCGTTCCAGAGCGACCTTCAACTTCCTTGAGCTCGCAGTCAGGGCCGCCTTCTCCCGCTCGAGCTCTTCAACACGAGCAGCATCCCCTGCATCTTCAGACAATACCAGAGCCATTTCAGCCATTTTTACCAACCCGTCCACACTGGCGACCAGCCGCGACCGCCTCTCCTCTTTAGTCATCCTCTTTATGGCCTCGGCTTCATGCGCGACCACGGTCGGAGGAAACCGCTCGAAGAAACCCTCCTCCTCGATGCAAGGGGGAAAGGCAAAGGATTGAACGGGACCGGTATCTTCCCCGACAGTTGAACCGCCTTCCACGCGGGTCCTCTTCCTATGTGTCAGAACGGCGTCGGCATCAATGACCTCGACATCTGGATCTGACGCCGCCCCCGAGCTTGACGTCGAATCCACCCTCACAGGCTGAGAAGCGTTCAGATTTGTCGGTGGACCCATTCTCGTCATCTGAGGGGCCGGCACGACCTTCTTGTTTCGCCTCTGGCCGGTTGACAATTTCAGGAGCCTCTCATGTCGGCTGGCCATCGTACCTGCACGAAGTAAAAGCAAAGTCAGTATCGAGCAAAACGCGTAAATAAATGACGAGCAAAGAATCTCAAACAAACAACCTAACAGGCGGGCTGCCTGCCTATAGGTCGAGCATTCCACCAACGCCTTGGTGTCGATCGGGCGAGCCTCGAATGTCGGGTAACCGTCCTTGTCGAGGATGTCATTCCCTTCCCGTGTAACCCACTGGGCGGGATGAAAACTGTCGACGAAGTTGCAGAGAGCCGTGTACGACCGCTGATCCTCCGTGCACATATCCCCGACTGCGGTATGAAAATAGTCGGTCCCATGCTGGAAGTGTCGAGACATCCAGTACACCGGGAACTTAGCCCGACGTCCTAACACGGGGCTCCCGTCATCGGTCAACATTGCTTCCCCGTCATCGTCGCTGACCGGCCCTTCCTCCTCGAAGAGGGAATCTACAGCAGAGTCGGTGATAGGGTGTACCACATACCACTTATCCTTGAACCCCCTCACAGAGTCCATGTACATCCTAAACAGCCTCCTCGACTGCTTCAGGGACACCCAGCTGTGCTTCCCTCCTCGGGACTGACGCTGTAGGTGGAAGACCCTAAAGAAGAGAGGGATGGTCGCCCCTATCCTTAAGTAGCGACACGTCAGCTCAAACGCCCGGATGAAGGCGAGAGAGTTTGGGTGTAGCTGGGACGGGGCCAGCTCCAAATGCGTAAAAACCCCGGTCTCAAAGTCTGTGAACGGCAGCCACAACCCCAAGTCTTTAAATGCGATCTCGTACATCGCAAAGCTGTAGTTCGGGTACATCGAACAAATTCTGGCGTTGGTCGACGGCAGCATGACCTCGAAATTCGGTTGAAAGTCGGGCTGGTCCTGCCCCTCTTCGTTAGCGATGAACGGATGTCGGTCATCCCGACTGTATATCGACGCCGTTCCCCGAGGCTCGGCGCCCACCCATTCCAGCGATGGGTCGGTCACGGTGTCTATAAGGTTGGCCGACTCGTCGGCACTCTGTTCTTCGCTGTCACGACGACCGGAGGAGCTCGGCTCATCCGCCATGGTTACCTGCAGAGCACGGGAAACCAATCAGATTGAGCATGAAGTCCTATGCTCGACATAATCATGTCGTCCATACACTACCACAAGTCCATTTTCACAAGTGGATGCCTCCCCGACTCTCCTGAATCCAGTGTTCTTCCACAAAACCAACTGCGCGGCCACTCTTCAAGCATATCGATCCGAGGTATGAACATGGCGAGCCGCATTATGAAGCCCACGGCCACGACCATAAACATACCGGGCACCGGCATGAGTCAGGCGCCCAGGATCATGAAGACCCCGGGCAGCTCTGAAGTTTTTCACCTAAAACTACGAATGTGTCGGCCACAAGTATGCGTTTGCCGGTCCTAGACATAAATCTGTCGGGCAAAACACGAATTTACCGGGCTAATCCCACATTAACGGTCCTAAACATCGAGAATCATGCATTCTAAAACAGGAAAATAAAGAAAATGGATCACTTACTTGGATCAAAGTTGGGATTTGGCTAAGAAATGAAGAATCTGAGACGAGGAGTCACGGTTGGAGAGAGTGTTGAGAGTTGCAACAAAGAGAGCACGAAGAACAGAAAACGTATTATGGGGCCCAAGGACCCTATTTATAGTGATGACGTGGAATACCAAACGTCACCTCGTTCGACCACGAACTCCATCTCCTCGACGCGCTGCTCCCAACGCAATGATGGCCCTACCCCTCTAGGGTGGCGGCACAGCTCCCAAAAGATGCCTCGCGTGCTCGACCAACGCGCCCGGTAAGGATCCTCCATGCATCCACCACCGAGGACGCTCCCGAGCACGACACGAGGAGGCCCCTCGAGGGCCCACGCCTCCATTCCGGGCACGAGACCTCAGCAACGGAACAATTTGGTTTCGTCATGGCTCCTCGCTAAGGAACCACGACTTGGGGGGCTCCTGTTCTGGACTGGGCCCGACAGGCCCAAAAGCATTACTAAGGCCCAGTCCAAAGGGACTCACTAAGGACCACGCTGGGCAAAGGGGGTCACATTCATGCCCGACACCCTGATGTCCACCTCGACATCTCTGTGTCTAGTCCCACGCGACGAAGTCATGCTCGACAGACTGTCGTCAGCTCCGTATCCTGGCGTCCAGCTCGACACTCGCCGTCCAGCTCGAGGTCTTGGCGTCGGGCTGGGCACCGCGCTGCGCAGCTCGACATGGACTCGAGCTACCTTGCTAGGGCAGACTTAGTCCTCCATTGCCCCAACGATACTCCGCAAATACCGCGTCTCCGTCCGCCCGCACTTCACGCAGCACATCCAGGAAGGGGACCACGTGCTGATCCCCACTACCCACGTAGAACCTGGCAGTTCCTCCATTGGGCCAAATCCGCCCGGCCCAACGAAGGAACCTTGGCCCAGCGCTGGGGGCTATAAATACCCTCTGTTTCCAGAGGGTCAGGTATTGATCATTCTAACCTCAACTCTATTATCTGCTAGTACTCCCACTGACTTAAGCATCGGAGTGCCTTGCAGGTACCCCCCCCCTCCTCGTTCAAAAAGCCTTCAGCTCGGAGCAGCCGTGACGGTCCAAACCTTCTGATCAGGTCAGATCAATTCTAGTCAGGAAGTTACTCGTCGATCGGCTAAGTTCCAAACATCAATTTGGACCTATGAATATATACAGTCGTTAAGTAGTGAATATAAGGTATGAATAATTTAATACTTTTTGTTCCTCATTTGTACATTCACATACAAATAAAATGAAACTAACAACTTCTAGTTAATGCAGGAAGTAATGTACAAAGAACAATGCTTAATGCTAAGAGAAAAAGTAAGGATGATGTTTAAGAAGATGGAAAGTGAGATTCATCAACTTGAATTTATTGATGTATTGCAAAGGCTTGGAGTGGCATATCAATTTCCTAGTGAAATAAGGAATATATTGGACAACATTTACAACACACAAACATCCAAGTTGAAAAATAACTTATATGCCACGTCACTCAAATTCAGACTCCTAACGCAACATGGTTATACTATATCTACAGGTGATTGAATATATAAGAAAATACTGAAAATTCATTTAAGAAGTTTCCCAATTTTATTATGGAGCAGGGAGAATCTTAATAGGGATGGGAGGAGCCACTGCACCCCCTCGTATTTATATGGTTAAGTGATAAAATATATTTTTTTAACATAAGGTCAAGAGTTTGACTAATTTTGTATTTTTTTCAAAAAAATGTTTTTTCTAGGAGTAGAACCTTCGTCTTTAAGATAATTTAACATAAAGATAAATACATCATCAATTAATAATTTATGATAAATATTTTAACCATTTTTTTATTTATTTTTTTGTTTTTGACTCCTCTAAATTTTTTTCTCAAGTCCACCACTGGTGGAGGAAGATTGTTGATTTACAAAGGTGGTTCCTTTGAGGTGCGGTTAAAGGGGTTTAAGATTGCTTGAATGAGTTGAAAGAATGTGTGTAAAGTTAATGAGTTATGTGGTCTAGGAATTCGAGATTTGAGATTTGTTAATTTTGTCCTCTTTGGTAATTGGCGTTGGAGGGTCTTCTAGAGTTTCTAATCTCTTTGGAGGCATATTCTAGTGGCTAGATACGGCGAGAGTGTTGTTGTGTCCCTTTGAGAGGTTGTAGTGGACTTTATGAGGAGCTTCACCATAGTGGCGAGAAATTCTCTTTTGAGGTCCGTTGAGGGCAGTGTCTGATTGGTTTAGAGAAAGTGTGGTTAACTTTAGTGGAAATGGCTTTCGTACTGAGTTTTCGGGTGATGTGTAGATTGGGAAGAAGCCTTTCTAGTTGATTTTTCTTAGGTTGTTCTTGATCTCCTGTCAAGAGAATTATCTTGTGGGTCGTATAGGGTAATGGTGGATGGTGTCTTGAGGTGAGATTTTTAATGGGGACATGACTTGTTTGTTTGGGAAAAAATACTTATGGATAGCATTCTCCTATCTTTGAGGCGGAGGAGGGGATGGGGTAAGGTGAAGCCGACGCAAGAGGATGGGTGGGTTTAGAAGTTAAATGTTTAGGGTGGTTTATTTGTAAAGTAGGCTCATGGTTTGTTTAATAAGGAGTCTTATAAGGATAATTCAAGGTCACTTAGAGTGGTCCAAGTGTTAACATCTGGCTAGAAGAGTTGGATATCCGCTAAGGTAGTAACTTTCATTTTGAAGAAGCACTTGGATAAGGTTATATCCAAAGTGAATATTTTGAAGCATAGGGTGGTTGACAACTCGTTTGGGGATAAATGTCATATTTGAGTTAACTTGGAAGAGTCAATGAATCATTTGTTTATGCATTGTAGGTTTGTTGCGGTCATTTGGTCAAAAGTCTATAATTGGGTTGACAGAGTCTATGTCGTTCATGGTTGGTTGTGGGTTTTGTTTAAGGGATTGAGTGGTTGAAAGGTGTGTGTAAGAGAATTATGTTAGGTATTACAACTGCGATTTTGCATGCAGTGATCTAGATTGTTTAGAAAACACATAATAATCTTATTTTTGTTTGAAAAACTCGAATGTTGATTGAGGTGGAACATGATTACCATTTTTCTCGGAAATGACTCTAACCACATATGAGAAGTCTCCTTTTATCGTCCAGGGATTAGAAGCAGGACTCATTCACTTATTTAGAAAATTAAAGGGTGTTGGGTTGTCAGTTGGCTTTTTTGTGTTCCTGAACGGTCCTATCCATCCTTACCTCAACTTGGTTCTTTGTGGATTGTTCTTTGTTCTTGGATTTTTCGATTGTTTGTTGTTCTCCTTGCTCCGGGTTGGGGTTTTGGTCGCGGGAAAGTGTTTTTGTTGTGAGGCCTTTTTCCCATGGTATTTTTTATGGTTTGTATCTCTTGTTTTGATATTATGTTGTATGACTTCCTAGGGGGTTGGCATGGTACACCTTTTACCTAAAATTTTAACCTTTTCTTGTACTTTTTTAAGTTTCTATTTATATTAGTTATTATATATGCTTTTTAAAAAAAAAATATTAACTTATGAATATTAATTGATTTTGTGATTGAATGTTGTTCTTGCAGATGTTTTTGTTTGTTTCCAAGATAAAAGAGGAAATTTTGAGAAATGTCATTCATTATATGTTGAGGGAATGTTAGCACTATATGAATCATCATTTCATTCATTTGAAGATGAAATTATTTTGAATGAAGCAATAAAGTTCACTTCAAAATGTCTCAAAGAGTATATGTTGAAAGATAATAGAGATGCCTACATATCAAATCTAATAAATCATACTTTGGAACTTCCTTTACATTGGAGAATTCCTCGATGGGAAACTCAGTGGTTCATTAATGTATATGAAAGTAAGCAAAATATGAATCCGATTTTACTACAATTTGCTAAAATGGATTTCAACGTTGTTCAAAGCATTTATCAAGAAGATCTTAAGCAATCATCAAGGTAATATAATATCCATAAATTACAGTTACTTGTAGCTACTATTTCTTTGATGAATATGAATATTTAGTGCACGTGGTTTTTTTAATCTTTTGAGTTAATAATTCACATTTTGAGAAAGTAGTTTGTGAGATTTCTTATTGTCCCCCTAAATTGTTTTGAAGTTTTCTAACTCTTAATGTGCTAAATTTCTTTAACTTTTTTCAAGTGAAATACATTTCATAATAAGTTAATTTTTTTTCTATCTATCACCTTAGAGAAAAAGGAAATTGTAATATTATCAACAAAAATCCTTAAAGTAATTAATATATACTCTAGGAATTGACTAAAAGTTTTTGAAAGAAGTTCGTGAAAACACAATGGGTTTGAGAAACTCAACACACTCAGTCAGACCTCAGCCCACGTTTTTTTTAGAAATGCAATGTATTTTGCAAAAAATATTTAAAAGACAATTTTAAGTGTTAGATATATACTAAATGTATAGATACTTAAGCCAGTTAAGCTCTTAGTAGGATGACTTAAGCTCTTAGTAGGATGTAAAGTTTGTTAGCAGTTAGTTACACAAAAGATAAGCTAACAAACTATAGTACTTGTATAAATATGTTGCCTAATGTAACTGTTGAGTAGTGTGGAAAATATTATGCATATCAAAAAGTTCTTCTCTCTCCGCACTCTTTAATTCTAATACGGTATCATAAATGGTTTAGATCTAAACCATGTTTCCACTTCATCTTCTTCTCCGCACAAAGACGAAACCCTAAGTTCTCTCAGCTTCAACAATGACATACTCTGCAATCAACACCGAAAATCAAGATTTATCGCGCAGCTCTCCTTTGAGCTTTTTCAATCCGAACTCCAATAACACATATGGTATGAAGCTTTCGATTCAGCTCAAAGATAACAACTATCTGCTATGGAAACAACAAGTTGAATAAAGATTCGTCACGCAACTCTCCTTTAAGCTTCTTCAATTGAACTCCAACAACACATATGGTCGGAAGCTTTCGATTCAGCTCAGTGTCACCATTTGGTATTCAGATTGTATTTAGGTGAAGTTGTATTTGGATTGGCCGGAGGATCACACAGTGTCACCAAATTAGCCTTTAACAGGTGATGTAAGTCTTGGGATAGTGATATTCCTATCCTTGTGAATTGTCTTCGCGGAGCCTCAAACCGTTGATGATTGGAAGATGGTCTTTGAGTAGGAGGTGGATTGGAAATCTGGACAACATTAACAGACAGATGGCCATCCTTCTTGGTACGGGCCCTTGCCTCATACACAACATTCATTTCTTTCTTCCCGATAAAAGGCTTTTTTATGGGATTGGAGGTGGAAGCAGATGCTATGGGAATCTTCCCGCTTTTGATACCGCTTTCAACTCTTTCACCGGTTAAGATCAGCTCGGTGAAACCGAAAGAAGAACAACCAACCAACAAGTTGAAAAATGGACCAAATAAAGTGCCCATAAACATATCAATGTGCTCCCTATCAGTTAATGGTGGTTGGACCCTACTGACAAGATCCATCCACTTTTGGGCGTTCTCTTTGAACCCTTCATCCTTACCCATTGTCATGTCTTTCAATTGAACTCTTGTCGGTACCAGGTCGGCATTATATTGGTATTGGTGGTAGAAATCGGTGGCTAAGCCTTCCCATGTATGGATACGGGAACCCTCCAATTGGTAAAACCACTCTAGTTGCGTCCCAACCAAGCTTTCTTGAAAAAAGTGAACCCAAAGTTTTTTGTCAGCGGTGTGCGGTTGAATTTTGTGCACATAAGAATTTAATTTAAGCTTTGGGCAAGAAACCTCATCATACTTAGCGAATACTGGTATCTTGAATTTGTGGGGAATGACTACCCTAGATATTAGACCTAAATCATCAAAATCTAAACCGGGGATGGCTTGAATCTCAATAACCTTCAATCTGTCTTCTAGCTGCTTGTACTTGACATCAGCAGGAGGATACTGCTCGTCAAAATAATCTTCATCATCAGACGCTTGATCATTGATACATCCAGCCTAGGTACTCCTTGCTTCTCTAATCTGATTCTCGTCTTCCTCAGACAAGTCTTCTACTACCGGTATCTGACGGACCGACTCTCTGAACCTTCTACCCACGTTGACTAAAGCTTTCCTCTTTGGCTTCTTTTTGGATGCTAGCAAAGCCATCAAATCTTGTTGCCCCTTTGGCCAGGGTCAGCAGAGTCTCTTAAAACTGGGAGTTTTGTGCTTGTAGGTTCTTCATTGTTTTCTCGATATCCATCTTACTTAAATAAACAACAGAGAGATAAGGAAACTTGTCGTGGAAAACCTGTTATGTTATGATGCATGGAAGATGTGCATGCAAATAATTTCAAGGATTCATGAAATTTAAATTTGTATAGACAAAAAAGGAACAAACGTCAAATTCCATTAATTAGTTCAAAATGATTACAACATGCCTCTAGGGCTTACAAAATAAATCTCTAAGATAAAAAGGTCGAACGCATCCTCTTTGGTGCAAGGTAGACCTTCAAGCTTCGTTCTTCATGTAGTTGATTTGTAAGCCTCAAAACCCTTTTCTCACTTGCATAACACTGAGCTTCGGAAGTGCCTCGTTCTTCCTTTAGCTGAATCCAACCTTTTTGCAAGTCTTCAAGAGAAGTATGCATGTTGGGATGAAGGACAGTATACGGGACTTCTTCTTCAACAACAGGCTCCATGATAACTGGTAGGATGAAGGGGTAAGGCATCATGAGTTTATGAGCACGAGCTCGCACCCACCTAAGATAAGGTTCAAAGGGAATAGAATTCTTACGTCCCAGTGTCCCACTATCTGCTTTATTTACCATCACCAAGCTCGTGCAAACCTTTGATAGTAGCCTTGATTGTCGCTCTCGTAGTCAAATACCACTCCTTGGATGAGAATGTCATGAGGACCATCTCTTTGGGTGTAACCAAATTGTCGTAAGGCTAAGCAAGGGTTGTAAGTGATACCTCCCCTAATGCCAAGCAGAGGGACATTAGGGAATTCCCCACAACGGTCAATGATAGAAGTATCCGCCAAGGATCTCGAACACCAATGGATATCAGAGTGGGTGAGGGACATCATCCTTTGAGACCGTGTCAATATTTGCTCGTTCTTCAATGCCGATCGAGGTAAGTTCGAAATAAACCACTTGGAAAGTAGTGGAATACAACACAGGAGAGTACCTCTTTTCTTGATGGTGCGGGTATGGAAACAATGCAAGATGTCTCCCAACAAGGTAGGTATAGGATTACGAGAGAGAAAGACTGTGATGGCATTCACATCTATGAATTGGCCCGAGTTGGGAAATAGAACCAAACCATAGATGAGAAGGGCTAGGACATCCTCAAAGGCTTGAAAATCTAAATCTTCCCAAAATGAACGATCCTTCTCCAATAAGAACTTGGCTAAGAACCCTTGAACTCCGGTTCTTGTCTCCCAATTTGCTACAATGGCGACTCTCTTCAGATGCAGGGCTTCGGCAATGACTTTAGGTTTTGGAATCCCTTCTAAACCGGTGAATGGTGCTTGATCAAGCACGGGCGATCGTAATAGAAAAGATAATTCTTCTAGTGTTGGCACTAACTGATAGTCGGGGAAGGTGAAGCAATGATGCATGGGATCGAAAAATTGGAAGAGCATGCACATCATCTATTCTTGGAAATTGGAGGTGGCCAAATTGAGGAGTCGACCATACTTCTTGGTCAAAGGAGAGTCTTCAGGTACCCTTGATGCTAACTCTTAGAGTTGAGGGTGTGCTTTCACAAAGTTGATTCTAATGGTATTTATTTGGACGGAGTTCATGGCCTACAAAACAAAAACAAAGATAAATTCCTAAATCCTTGAAATGGTTAGTGAGAATGTGTATGATGTTTATGATATTATGTACAAGTAAGCATATACACACAAGGCAAACAAGTCCTTAGGTTTAGGCTTTCATGGAATTTATAAGTAAGTACCCTTTTGAAGTTTTAGTTGGCTCAAACATGTCCTAGTAATAGTAACCGGGTTCTAAAGGGTCTCAACATCACTGACCTTTCTTTTAGGCATTGTCTCAACATAATTAATCTTTTCTTGCGATTGAGATATCCCAAAAGTACAATCTCAATGAGTGTAGTATCGAGTATCAACCAATTTTCAGCTTTCCACCGAAACCGGTTATCTCACTACGTCCTAATGGACAAGTTGTTAAATTAAGGTTCTAAGGTCAGTTAGTACTTCATGACGCCACTCAGCGGCCCCATATTCTCCTCGATTCAATAAAAGGGATACCGGTACCCGCAAATGCTTCACACTAACGTAGCCATTGTTTCAACCATATCGGTCTACACCATATAATTTCCACAATCTATTGCTACTTACCTAAAAAGGTGTCCCAAATCCGGGTAGAGGATCAAAGTAAGCCCAAACAAGGAACCATAATGTAAAGTAAGCAAGTCAAAAAATGAAATCAAATAAAGGTGATCTAGCCCTAAGGTAACCCCACTTTTAAGTTTATTTCCCCAGCAGAGTCGCCAGTTCTGTAATACGGTGGGAGAACTGACTTGAGATGTTTTGCATTTGATCGCAATTGTTGTGATTAACAAGAGTCGCCACCGACTTTGCTTTTATCCAAAAGGAAAGGTGGAAAATAACAGGAAAGACCCTTGAGATTATTTCTTGAGTTCGGGGGGTAGATTATAAAAAGGAAAGGTGTTAGCACCCTTTTCATCCATAGTTATCTGCAGGCTCTTAGTTGCTTGCTAGATCACTTGCTTTATTTGAAAATGTGCTTTGTGGTGGTCTTTGAAAGTATTTTTGAAAAGGCGCCTTTGTTTAGGAAAACTTTGTAATGGTTCTCGTTTCATAAGAACGTATACAAAGTGTTAGACTTTTGAAAATATTTCATATTTTGAAAGTGTTCGATATGTGTTTGTTTTGAAAGTGTTTGGTGTATGTTTGTTTTTGAAAGTGAGCAAGGATGTTTATTTTGAAAGTGAGCAAGCAACTAAGAACGT